CAAGAAATGTGTTCAAAGTGTCTTCCCCCACAAGAATCAGAGGAAAAAGAGAAAAGTAAAAGGCCCTAAACTCAGCCTGCCCTTTTCTGCTCCTACCACCTACCAGAGGGCAATTTCTATGGGGCAACACCTGTTTCTCACCATTGAGTTCATTTACTGCCAAGCCAAATGCCAAGTTCTGCTTTAAAATCTAAATGAATTCTGGTTCATAATATTTCTTCAAGTTTGTGACATCTCACAGCTACCCACGAGTAAGAGTTTTTCCCAACCAGATATTCAAACATAAAATTTTTCAATAAAGACAATTTAAACTAAATGCACAAAAAGAACAAGAAGCAGCAAAATTTAATTTACTGGCATAGCCATACACACCCCAATTTTATTTTCTTTTTAAGCATACAATTAAGGGTAATTTAATTCCCCTGTGTAGGCATTACATGAAAGAGAAACATTATTGTAAGAAGAGCTCAGTACTGTTGGTACACAAACCTTACGACAGATAAATTAGACCTTAGGAAAACAGCATATAATTTACATTTTGTTATGTCAATCACCAGGAGCATCTTAGGGCTCTGAAATAGCACACCAAACCACAACATAAGGGAACTAATGTAAATCAACACGTGTGGCAGGATCACTCAAGTTTCCACAATCCAAAAGATCCCTAAAATGGATTTCATAAGATTATTCCTCTTCAACATCCACTTACACCTTTAAGTTACCAAGAGGTTATGACAATATTTCACTACAGAAGAGTTACAAAGTTTTGCATTGTTATAGAAAAATCAACGCCATAAGACCACAAGGGCATGGGGTCTGGTAATTAATCCCTGGTCTTTATTACTGGAGAAGCCAATGGCCAGATGTGCAGGTGGCCCAGAGAAACAGCAGCCTGGCTCAGCTGCACACCAAACCCAGCCTTGGGTTAGTCCCACAGTTCTTGAGTTCAGCAGCAAAGGAGGGACAGAGCAGCCCAGGGCCGTGCTTTACAAACCTTCACAAGCAGCAGAACAAATGACATAGCCTGATTTTGTTCTGGGGCTTCCCCTATAGCCAGCACCTCATCCACATTCTGACACCACACAGGAAATTAGAGAAAGGTCAGGATGTGCACAGCAGAGCTAGGAGCACAACACAACAGACCAACGTGGGGTGGGCTCCGAGAATTCTGTCCCCTCCTATTCCATGATGACCAGAGTGAGAGGACTAGAAACATGAGGTAATTTAGCTACTAAATAAAGTCTATAAAAACCAGAGTGCAAGATGTTTACTCGCTCCTATCATTCCTAAGAATTGCTCTGCAGGTTTTTTGTTAAGGGACATGAATTGAGGTTTTCAAAGAAGCTAAATAGGAACACTGTCCCTCTGTGAGCTGACACTGACACGAACTGTGACACTGTTTTCTGTCATCCGTGCTCAGTGAAAAACTTGCACATAAGAAGGAAAAACTACACAAGTGCCAAGAACTGCAGAAGTACAACTGGAAAAAATACTGTCTTTGGCCTTGTAGCTTATATCAATTATTGCTTTTAACAAAAGATACCAGCAATGCCTTTCAGGTAAGGCTTCTCCTTCCAAAAATATCAAGTACAAAGTTTCTGTTTGTCAAATCACACTGCAATTCAACAAACATAGTCAAACTATAGTTTCTACAAAAGGGTTTGTATTTTTCTGTTCTTTAAATCTCTTAACAGTTTTTTCATATTGCTTTAAACAGGAATTTTCCTTTTGATTTCCTCACTGCAGCATATTCAGCAGCAAAGCAATCTGCACTTGCCAATACTGCTGGGCTACAGCAAATCCAGGACACCACACCAGCCAAGTGCTCCTCATGTGGCTGCTCAGAAAAGTCCTCGCTCCCTAGCACAGTACAAGGTAAGGCACAGACCCCAGAATGCTGAGCTCTGCTCTTGGCATGGTGAGAGACACCATAAACCTGAACTGCCCAGGAGCTGGAGGTGAGCCCAGAGAGGTGCAGGCTGACCCTGTGCATCCTCACCCCCAGCATCTCCCTCAGCTCAGATCATCTCAGCACTGCCCTCCACCTGCCCCAGCATCCCTCACCCAGCCCAGTCTGTAAATACACAAAGTGCCACTGTTCTGCCCTTTGCATAGTGATACTGGGGCACATTGGCCACTCCAGGTGGATGTCCCTCACCCCAGGACACAGTTCCATGCTTTAACAGACACTTCACCAAGCATGTTCACGGTGGCTTTTCACACACTCAGAAGCTTGTTAACCAGCCAGAGCCTTTCCCACTCTCCCTTTCCAGCCATGGATATGCTCTTCAAAGAGCTCTATTTACATGCCAAGCTACAAAGCAACGTGGAAAAACTGCAGCTTTTATGATTCTACAGTGAGGTTTTTCACAACATGAAGCAGCTTTTTAGACTACTTTTTTTTTCTTTTTTTTTTTTTTATTTCCAAACAAGATTTCACAGTTCAAAAAAAAAAAAATCTCAGTCCACCCACAGGCTTTTGAGGAACATTAACAGAGGGGCTTCAAAAGAAGAGAGCTCTGCGACCTTAAGCATTGCATTCTGAATGAACATCCATGGAAAAACTGCGTACAAGGCAGAAACAAGAGTCACCAAAACCCACATATCCACCACAGTTTAAACTACTTCTCCCATGTTTAGGTCTGTCATGGTTTGCCTTATGCCATCTTCTGTTGTACCCTTCCAACTGCTTACTGTCTTCTCATTTACTTCTGAGCCTTTGTTTTGAAACCAGCTCTGTCTGAAATTCCTTCTCAGGCAAGCCACAAAGCTGCGTTTGGTCACTTTCTCAGCAACACTGACACCAGCTACCCCTGGGGCTCCCCCAGCCCCCAACACACAGGTATTTATTTCTATGTGGAATCTTTCTCCAGTTCCCCAAGAAATCCAGTCCTACTCCATTTCCAAATCAAGTCCTAGTCTTTCTCCAGTTCCCCAAGAAATCCAGTCCTAGTCCATTTCCACCTCGTATTTAGCCTGTCAAGCACACAAAGCTAGAACTGGCACTTTATCAGCGTCTTCTTTGTGCAGAGATGAAAAATGCTGCCAATAGTTCAGCAGAAACAACGAGTCTGGATCAACAGCCCATGCAAAGAAAGCCCTTTGTAAAATCAGGACTAACCAAACTTGCAAGACTAAAGATTCTCTTTGAACCACACATGCCAAAGCAGCACCAGACTGGCACCACCAGTGATGGGATTCCGAGGAACAGGGCACTGCAAACATCACTGTCAGCAATCCTACCCTCTCTCCTCCACATCTCTCCCTGCATTCTACGTAACATGGAGCAAAGGAAAATGGTTGGAAGGCTCCAGACAGAAGAAAATTATACATGCCAAGAACTTCCAGAGACAAGTCTAACTTCCTGAAAATGACCAGGAATTTAGTAGAAGCTACAGCCAGCTGCAGTCTGCTGACACAGATTTCTCCTTCCTCTCTACACTGGCAGGAAATAAGCACAGCCCAGCTTGCACACCTTCCATGGGAGAGGTGGGCTTCTTCAATCCTTGGAAAATGCTTTTGCTTTTCAGAGAGAGAACAACGACCTTGAGCAAACACAGGAGCACAGCAGTGCAGCCTCTCCAGAGACACTGCCTGGCCTTCCTCACTCCCCATTCCAAAAGTTTTGTTCTAAGGCCTCCCCTCCAAGCAGCCAGCACTGCTCCATACTCCTTCCTTCCTTCCTCTCTGCCACCACGGCTTCTTCCTATAGGTCTCAAAAATGGTTACCACGTCTTTAAAAATCAAAGAAGACTAGACCAAATAGTCCTTTCTTCTCCATTCTTTTTAAAGATGTTAAAGTATTCTGCATGAATGGAGGAAGTTATTTTAATTTTCTGTCTTTACCCTAGAAGGCCAGGCTTCAAATGTTTGCTAGAACACAAGTATTTTAATTTAAGTTAAACAGCCCAGCTATTTTAATTAACTTACAGTTTCATAAACATTTTTTGGAACTGGAGACCTGAAATATTTGATGTTCTGCACAATAATGCCCATTTAAATCTTTCTTTGCTTTAACCACATTTAGCCTTTCTGAGTTTTCACGACAAAGTACGATAAAACTTTTAAAAACTGTTAACAAACTAGAGGACACAGATACAGCAAATAATTAATTCCAGTGTTTCTAGGACCCCCTACATTATAAATTTTCTCTTCTGCCATACCCTGCACAGGAGCTGCTTGGAATGCTCACTCTCTTCTTTCTGTAAATCACAAGGCAGCATTTTCAGAGCCACGTAAATAAATAATAAGACATTTACCCAGATAATGCATATTTCCACTTTGACTCAAAACTCAAGTTTTGCTCTACTCATGTGACTCCCTGGTTATCCCTTCCACGCCCTCACTTCCAGAAGGGATAGCGGGTTAATGATTACAAAATCCAGTGCAAAGCAAATACAGAATGAAAGAGGAGGAAAAACCCAAACAAACGGTGGACCATAACACTGAGGAGCGTGCTCGGAGCAGGAGCCTGCCCGGGGCCCGGAGGGACTCGGCTGCCCCGCGGGGCCGGGGCGCGGAGGGCGCTGCACCGACCGCACCGGAGCGAACTTCGGGCCGAGCCCCGAGCCCGGCGGGAGCCGCCCAGCGCGCACCTGGCCGGGACCGCCCGGGGACACCGCGCAGCGCCCCGGCCCCGCCGCACCTGCGCGCCCCGCGGACAGGTACCGCGGCCCCGGACAGGTACCGAGGTACCGCGGCCCCGGACCGTCACCGCGCCCCCGGACAGGTACCGCGGCCGGCGGAGGGGCGGCCCCGCGCCTCTCCGAGCCCCGCACCCCTCCCCGCCGCCCCCGCCCGCGGCCCCGCGGGGCGCGGAGCCCCCCCCTCGCCCACCGCGCCCCTCCGCGCGCGCAGCAGCGCCCCCCGCCCCGCGCCGCCCCCCGCGCCGTGTCCTGCCCTTGCCTCCTGCCCGCAGTGCCCGGTGCAGTGGGAGGAGCGGTGCCCCGGGGACGGGCCGCCCGCCGCCCCGACCCCTCCCTGCCGCCCGCCCGCCTCACCCCGCTCGGCGCCGGCCCCGGCGCTGCCCCGCGGCCCCGTCCCGGCTCCGCGGCCCCGTCCGGCTCCTCCGGCTCCGCAGCGCCGAGCGGGGCTGCGCACGTGACCGCGCCCCGCGCCCCCATAGGCTGCGGCTGCCGGGCAACGCGCGCCCGCCCCTTCCCTGCACCTGAGAGCGCCCTACGCCAACTGCGTACGGGGCGCCGCGCCGCCCTGCGCCGGCTCCGTAGCGCCGCGGACCCGGCCGTTTCCTGCAGGCCGGCGCAGCCTTACGGAATCGGCGTAGGGCGCGCTCGGCCCGCCCGGCTCCCCACCTGCGGCCGCTGCTCCCCGCGCAGCCCACGCGGTCCCGCCCGCCGCCTGGGGAGCGGCGCTGCTGCTCGGGGAGCTCCGTGGCCGCGCGGTGCGGGAGCGGTTGAGCCGCACCTGGAAACGCCGCTTGCGTAGAGCCCCTCCGAGAGGTCGGTGTGTGTTACGGACTCTCCGTAATGTCGTCAGCGCGGGCGCCGCACCTGAGGGCTCCCGCCGCGCTAACGGCGTAGGCGCGAGCGTGCCGGGCGCAGAGTGCGCAGCGCTGAGGGCACGGGCTGGGCAGGTGTGTGAGGGCAGGGCTGGCCTGGCCCCGGCCGCGCTTGGGGCTCCGAGGCGGGCACCGGTAATGAGGCGGGCACCGGTAATGTGGCGGCACCGGCGCTACAGCGACCCCGGCCCCGGCCGCGAACGGGAATAGCTCCGGCAGCCCCGGCCCCGCCGGCTGAGGGGGGCGCCGGGCGGGCCCGGGGGCAGCGCTGAGGGGAGGAGGCCGGGCATGGGTGCGGCAGGACCTCGGCCCCTCACGCAGCGCCCGACCTTGGAGGCTTTAACATCCCGCTGCCAAATCCGAAGCAGTGCAGGAAGAGCAGGTTCACAAAGTGAGTTGAGGAATAGAGTTTCCATGTGAGGAATTGAGCTCCTTGTGGAATCCTCAGTGACAGAGGGCAAATCAAGGCACTTTTCGTGTTGTGTTTGGGCAGGTTGGGCTGCACAAGCAGTCTGATGGCCAATGATTTCCATCTTTCTCTTCTAGAGATCAAGACAAATGGGTTTAAGTTAGTTTTCAGCTCCATGCAATAGTTCTTCCCAATCCCAGACAGGTGGCACAGTTCTAGAGCACATGGGCACTGCAGTGGAGGTGGAGAGAGCTCGCAGAGCTGATGATCATCACGCTTCAGAGCAGCCCTGACCAGCAGAACCTTTAGGTATGAGGAGAGGGTTGAGTCTGATGGATTTTCTTTCTTCTATATATGTGTGTTACATAGAACGGTTACAGAACTTCAAAATCCTTCAGCATTCCATGTGCTTCAACACTCAAATGGCCAATATAGTCACTTGAGTGCTTTAGAAATTCTGCCAGATTTTCTAGGTTAAGTGCCTTTTTGAACTCAGCTTCTAGCATACACGTGCATGGCAATCATATTCAATATCACTTTTAATACTTTTCAAAACTGATTTTATACAGGCTGTGAAGATGAAAGACTGGGGAGCTCTATTCGAAAATAATCAGTACACAACGTGCTGTGCTGAAGCAGCCCCCGAGGGAACTTTGGCCGAAGATTGTAGGATCAGGAGATTTGTGGTGCTAAAGTGAAACAGTAACTTTCATTCAAAAGAGTGATTTCAGCATTAGAGTGGAAGTGGAAAGCACGTGTGCATTAATAACTTTCCATGCAGGGAGAGGTCCACCTTGTTCCAATTAGACTTACATTTTGTGTACTCCTTTGCAAGCCTATGGCTGAAATGTCACCCTGGTTCTGAACAGTCAGACATTGCTCTGCCTTTGTAACAGACTTTTATCTTGTCATATTTGAGGATTGAAAGGAGAAACAAATACGAAGAATCTCAGTTACTGCTTTCATGTCTTGGATAGAGAGATTTCAAAGTGATGAATGAATTTAGCCAAATCTCCTGTGTGACCTTAAAATATTAGTGTGGGCCTTGAAAAGAGGCAGAAGATAATAGCTGGAAATCAAGGACTGGTCCAAGGACTTAACATAAGAACAGTTTTATTTGAAATTGATTGTATCAAATAGAGACGCAGCACAAATACGGCCTGGAGAAAGGCTGCTGGGTGGATGGAGGGATGGGAAGAGCAGCTGTGGAATGAGTGGCTGTGCAGTGCAGCTGGAAATGTAGTGAGGAGGGAAAAATCTGCAAGAGATGGCACCTCAGGTAGTGAAGTTATTGCAGAGGTACAAGAAAGATGTTTTCAGCTGTGGTCTGAGTGAAATCTTGAATTTTTCTGTTGAGTTCTCCCTTGGGCTAATGATTTGCCAAGGGCAAAAACACAGAGGAAAGGGGATTGATGGATTAATTTAGAGTACAGGGGATTGGAAGAGCTTTGGCGCTGCAGTACAAGGATATACATTTAACAAGGAAAAGAGCATCTGAGGCTTGGAAAAAAGTTAACATCTGTCTTTAGGCTTCATGGAATGAAAAGAAAGAAAATTGAATTCATAGCTCTAAGTATAGTCAATAAAAGACAGGGATTGAATTGTACCAAAGGCAACATGGAATTAAGAGTTACCTTGGTGAAAGTTGAAGTAATTAACAATAATTATGCTCTTTCTTGAGACAAAATACTGGCGTAGAAAGAATTATTTTTTAAAATATGCAACTACAATGGAAATAATGTGTGTTTCCCACAGATTTTTCCATAGAAATAACTAAGACGTTGTCACGTGTGCTTGAATGTCACCTGCACCCTCAGGCAAACGAGGGGCCCTCGGCTAGGCCGGTGTGAGGGTTGGAGAGAGGCTGGGCAGGGCCTGTGCAGCAGGGACGGGCTCTGGGGGCTGCAGTTCTGCCCAAATGCTGCCCTGAGCACTACGTGGCCATTGGCTACAGGACAGGGGAAAGCCCGAAGTGAGCAAGGATGAAATGCAGCCTGTCAGGTTTCAAGTGTTTGGTATTGTTTACACACAAATGGGAATGCTCCTGTAGTGCCCGAGGGAAGAGGGATTTCTTTCTTGTTATAACTCAGAAATCTCTGTTTGAGACTTACCATTGTCCAGTGACCCAGTTCTTTATGGGTTTCAAATTCTGCCTTTAGACATATACTAAAGTTAATGGGGTTTGTGCAAAGATAGCTGAGGACAGAATTCAAATTGCAAAAAATAACTTTGTGTGCAGGTCTTTTAAAAACCTTAATAGAAAAAGCTCTCTTTACATGGGAAATTAGTCTCATAAGATTGATATAGCAAAGAGTTTTATTTTGAAAAATCCTTACAAGATCTGTATTAATTTTTATTTTAAAGTGTATCTCAGGCATGGAAGGGAGAGAATCAAGCAGATAAGTATCCAGTGTAGAGGATACTTAAAAACTGAGAATTTGTGCTGCAAAACAAAAGATGATATGATTTATGCTGGCAGTCATTTGTGTACCTAACTCTTCACCAAGTTTTACACAGTGCTTGCTACTATCTGTTGCAACCCTGAATTCTCTGACTTTGAGCTAGAGCAAAGGAGATAAAATGGTACTGGAGGAAAATTAGACACCGGGAGAGGAGGAATCACACCACAAAATGTGCACAGGGCTCCTCAAGTCCCAGAGCAGGCTCTGCAGGGTAACATTTCAGAGATCTTTTAAGCAATAGGGATGAGGATCAGCTTGAAGAGCAAGCAAAACTGGAACTAAGGAAATGGGAAATACTTTCAGGTTATGACTAATGCAATTATTAGAGCGGCTACTGAAGGCACTGTGGTGGATTTAGCCTCAAATAAGAACAGAAGTTATGCCATGTGTGATTGATTCCAGGTTGGGTTACAATTTAGAAGTGCAATTAGTGAGTCATCTGTTACTTTATATCAATTATTAAAACCAACAAAGGTCTAGGTTAAAAAAAAGAGTGCATGCCTCAATATGTGCTGCTCTAGTTGTTAATTTCTGATTTCACTTTCTTGTTTGAGTGTCTCAGCTTGTGCAGTTGTGGTACAGGGTGTTCCTGAACCAGCTCGTGAGCGGAGCAGCGCTCCCGTGCCGGCCCCTGGGCTGTGGCCCTGCCACCCCATCCCACACTCACGTGCTGTGGCCAGAGCCAGCCCAAGGCAGTGGCTGTGCTCACCTGCAGGCCAGCAGCTTCCTGGAACATTTGTAAACACGAGTGCTTTAATCCTGTTTTATAGGTGCTGTTTAGGACAGAGGGCAGCTCGGCATTCCTGACAGCTCCGTTGTTGTGGAGACTGTGCTGCCCTCGGTGCTCTGGCTGTGTTCTCACCCCATCTGGCAACTGCTGAATGTGTAAAACTTTTCTTCTGGTGGCCATGGCAAAACTCATAGCAGTAAACAGAGCTTTGAGGGACAGTACCAGGCTCCATGGGAGAATTGATCTGACCCAACAGAGCATTCCTCGTGAAATAAGAAGGCCTGGAAGCAAGTGATACTACCAACCTTCAGTGGGCATTTAATTACAGTTTCTAATTAAGGTGATGTCCTAAATGGTCATGTGAATTCTCCTGATCTGTAACGTGGTGTAACATGACATACCAACATGGGTGTTGGTACTTCCTCTGCACTTCAGCATTTTGGTGTGAATGAAGGTGCATGTGCCTGTTTGCCCATGGGAATGGAGGCTGCAGCTGGTTGCAGGGCATCTCTGCTGTGTGGGCTGTGAGGGAAAAGGGGCAGAATGAAGGTTCTAGGGTCCTGTTGTCACTGAGCCTGTGGGGCTGGCAGTATCGTATGCAACAAGTTGCACACTGCAATTTAAGGGTGTCAAGTTGTGGAGACTGAACACTGGTCTGTAGCTCTGCTCTCCAGACATGCCTGGACCACGGGAACAGACTGAATCCAAAGCAGGACTGAACTTCACAGAGCTTCCCAATTTTCAGTCTTGATACTTTGTAATAGACATTTGAGATGTGATCACTGAGCCCTCACAATGACTGTGGTTGATGTGGTTTGCACTTCTGTGCTACTGGGCTTGTAGACATGCTGAACCAATCTGGAAATCAACTGGCTTTTCTGTTTGTGGGTAGGACATGATATGTGTCTATCTCATATCAATATCAGATAAGTATTTTCATTTATATCACTGGCAAGTAGATAAATATTTGGGGGTATATGTACATCCTTTCTAGAAAAACAGAGATACAGTTGCAAGGATTGTTGTTTTAGGGAAGAGTGTGATTGGACCAGATAAGGGATGGCAGAGTTTGGTGCAGGTCCTTAGACAGATATATTAGGGAGGGTTTTTTCCTTTTCCTTTGAAGTTTAAGATTGAAAACCTGCCATCATTCCAAAGCAGAAACAACTTGGGTGGCCTTTTTATCACTAATAGTCAGAGCAGCTAGGCAGGACTGACTCCACTGAAAAGAGGCTCTGTCATACAAGAGGTTTCCTAGGTCAAGATTAAAAGCAAAACAGCTCTCATCACATGAGCCTTTGTACTGCACCCATATTTTCTAAAGGCTGTTGGCTTATCTTTAATGTTTATGCTGCTATCAAAAATAAACCCAGCTTCTGTCTCCCCGGGTGTTGTATTCAACATCAACAGTGAATAGGCTTTTTCATTCCTAAATGCTAATTTCCTTTCTGTTTTCAATCTGTTTCTGGTACAAAATTTTTTTGTTTTCACTGGGTTTGGTTTCTTCCCTCTTTGTTTTTTTTTAGCTTCATGTTTTCTCCTTCCTGTATCTGTTTCTGTCCTGGTAATCAGTATTTTTTTGGTGGAAGCAGTAGCTGAGTGTCTATCAATGACCCTGAAGCCTAGAACTTGAATCGGAGTTTGTTTGAGTGCAGCTGGCAGCACAGTCATAATAATTTAAAGAAAAAAAAAAGCTTTACCAAGATTAATTTTTCATCAGCAGACTGAGGTACTCTTAGGAATAATTGTAATTGTCTCACTTTGAACTGTGGTCAGAAATATGGCCTAAAAATCTTGCTATAATGAGAATTTTGGTTCTAATGAAGTAGTATTATAACTTCATCAAAAATGTTGTGATACTGGAGCCAGAATTCAATGGCATTTGGAAACTGCTCCCAGGCTGTACCCTTGGGGTAAAGCACTGACCTTGCTGAAGCTGGTGTGGGTGTTTCCTGAAGGCACCAGTACCCAGCCCAGCACAGGGCCTGGCTCAGAGCAGATTGCCAGCCTCGTGTTGGTTATCTCCAAGTGGCTGAGGCTCCAGAGCAGGCAGAGAAGGTCCAGCATGCTGAAGCCTGCAGGTGACAAATGGGTGTTGACCAGCACCAAGGACTCTCTGCAGCTGCTTTGTCGCCTCTCTGAGGAGGTACTGTCCCCTCCCACTGCACAAACCAGAAGTAACCTTTCCCTATTTGAGACTCTTCACTCCATGTACCCTTGAAGCTGCTGCTGTGCTGACTGGTTTTGTCACATAATGTGATAAATGGAAAACAGATCTGCAACAGATACAAGTCATATTCCAGACTTTAGGCATGTACCTCAAAATTTCATCAACTTTGATATGCCAGATGTTATCTAGATGTGGATATCCAGTAGCTGGAGATGTCAGGGAGCTGTGACTAGCAAAGGAGCTGTGTGTCTGCTGAAACACTGAGAAAGGTTTGGATGCCTGTGTTGTGGGGGTATGGAGACTGCAATGCTGACCATCAGTTTGGAAGTGTATCACATTTCCCTCAAAGGGACAATTGAGCCCAGGCTGTAAAGGGGGTGGGCAGCCCAAATGTTTGGACAAATAGTTATCCTTGTGATGAGCATTCACAGTCAAGGATCTGCCAGGGTTTTCTCGCTGCAGTGCAAGTCCAAAATGGTCAGATTAGGCATTTGCACAGAAATGTACCTGTATTTTGGGGAGAGTATATTTTACATGGACTTTCCCATGATGGTCTAAGCTTGCTTGCGTTAAGAGTGGGAAGTTGAGCACTGTTGGTGTATCTTGTATCCTGGTTGTTCTTTTTTTTAAATTAACCTGCCAAATAATTTTAATATGTGCATGTAATGCTATCCTATTTGGCCTTCCTGTTACAGATGCTGTGCAGCAGTTCTGCCTCATGCCCTGGTATTCAGCCTTTCTATCAGTTAACTCAAATAAATGTAAAAATTCTATTACATCCAAGTGTCCACAGTGCTATAACTTTTTATTTATCCTGCTTGTTCTTTGATGACCTAAATTATTTCAGCTGTTCTAATTACTTATTTAAGAACTATTGCCCTTTCTCAGGGTTTTTTGTGGGAGGACTTAAGGAATAGTGTGTCTCACAAGCAGCATTATAGTTGCCTGCAAATTAAGGCAAGCAGACAGACTGTAGTAATGCTGTAAACCAGCTTATTTTAGGTGGCTTATTTTAGGCTAAGTTTTATGTGAAATATTGATGCACTCATTTAAATGCTAAAGAGCTGGGGTTCCTGCAGTCCTGAGAGCACAGCTGTATGTCTGTATGTCAGGCAGCAGTTGTGTCCTTCGTGGGAAGCCCCCCAGTTGTGTTCTGAAGGCTTTCAGCAGCTGGGGCCCTTTGTTACAAACCTGGAAGCTCAGGTGCTGGGGCTTTTTAGCCTCCTCTGTCACTGTGTTTGTAGAGTGTAGCACTAAAATCTCTCAATTCTGCTGTGCTTCAGGTCATCCTGGCTATGGAATGGGAGATAATGGGGCTTTCCTGAGGGTTTAGAGAGCTTGCTTCATAATTTGTGTTTGAAGCCAGCATGGTGTGTTTGTTATAGATATTGTTTAGTGAAACAAGGATTTGTTATGTGCAAAATTAAAGTATTTCTAAATTATAGGGAAATGTAAAATGTGAAAGCCGAAGGAAAAAAGAGATTGTGCCGTTTCCTTTGGTTTTGCTGCATCTTGCAGTCAGTCCCAACGTGTGTTAGCGCTCCCGCTGATAACGATCTGCCCTCCTCCCAAGGGACAGCACAGCCAGGCAGAGCTGCTCCTCTCCTCTCTGCTCACTAATTGATCTCTGCCTTGGCCACTTCCAGCAAGGTCACAGAACTGGCAGCTACAAAAACAGTGTTCTGTGGAAAATTTAAAGGGCAAGAGTAGAAGTACCTAGGATGGGATTATAATTTTTTTTAATTCATAAACAATTTATTGGATCTTCTATTTTGTGTCTGCAGAAGTCTGAAACTTGGAAAGGACTGAGAGCAGAAGATTATCCATTGTGACCTGTTCCTGCAGTTTGTGAGTGAGCCCTGTCCTGCAAATTGCTCTTTTCTCACTTTGTAATTCCACTTCCATTATTATTAGAACACAGCATGAATATTCCTGTTCAGATCCTGTAAAGGCTAAATGATTCCTAAGCAAGTATAGTGTGATCTTCTCCATTTTTTTTCTTTGCAGAAGGTTTGTCATGCTGGCCTTGAAAGGCATTCACGTGTTTGGGTTTTGTTTTCTTTTTGCACAAGTGCTTGCAATCATTTATGCTGCTTTCTCAGAGCTGACTCTTGATTAGTTCAGGTGCTTTACCATTAGAAAGGTGATGGAAATGTGGAGTTGAAAAGCCTGGACAAGCAGCAGCCGCAGGCTGTCAGCGCGGCAGTGCCGTGTCACTCACTGAGCACCGTGCCAGGCCCTGCCACTGTCCCAGCAGGGCCTTCCTGGGCTCTCAGTGCCGGGGCTGTGCTGGCAGGGACAGCTCCGTGTGCAGGAGAGCTCCCACAGCCCTGGCCAGGCCACTGCATGGCTGGCCTAAAGCTGGGTGCCATGTGCAGGGAGCAAACCAGCGAGAGCTGCAAACAAAAACATGCATTAGCACGGCTGCTTGAAAAGCAGACAACTGTAGAGGGTTTGAATAAAGGAAATGGGCCAAACTCTGTGAAGGCAAGGCTGGAACACTGAGGGCAGAATGAAGCTGTGCTGCATTATTAGGGCATTCATGAATGTGTGGCAGAGAGGGGGAAAGGGGCTTGGTTAACCTGGTGTGATCTAAAAATATGTAGAATGTGCTATACAGAGCCATAGCTGTTGTACATCTTTAAAGGGTAAAATATGCAGCTTCCTCTGAAGTGGGAGCATGGCAGGGTCTCACAAAGCAGGCATTCAGAAGCACCTTGTGTGGAGCACTGTTCATTCACATGATCCTAATCACAGTGAGGAGCATACACTGTAGTTGCTCTCAATAAGCTGGTAATTGAATTATCAGCTAAATATTGAAAGATTAGACACCCTGTCTTTGGGAGAGGGGTGTAGAAGCAAGCCTAACTTGATTATTGCATCAAATCAATTTTCTCTTCATTGTGAGTTGAAGCAAGTAGTTGATGGTTCAGAACTCCTTATGCTCCTTCTGTTACAAAGAACTCTGCCAGTGTTTGGTGTTTAACTCTTGTGTGAGACATGATACCACAGAGAGGGAGCAGAAAAAAATTAAATTGTATTAAATTGTCATAAGCCCCTGAGCTGATGAACTGGTTTGATACTGTTTGTTCCACTAGAACTCGAAGCGATTAATTGAATAAACGTTTGTTTGAGTCTTTAATTTGTCTATAAATATGTATAGTAACTAATGAGGAGGCAAGAAATCATCTTGAGAGTCACCTTGAGCAGAGGATAAGCATTCCTGGTGCATTCCTGGGAAGCAGCGCGGTGGTGACGGTGCCCAAGCTCTGCCACCGTGTGGCAGCTGCAGCTCAGTGCCGGCCCGGGCTGGCTGCAGAGCTGCTCCGCTCAAGGGAAGGTCATTGTGCCTCAGGGAAAGACAAAAGCACAAATATTCCTTCTGCAAAATCACACCTGGAGTGTCAGAAGTTCTCTCTGCACAAACCAAATGTCAGCCTGTGTGTGGGGCTGTATCTGAAGTTGACAGTGTCTGTTTTCTGCATGAAACTTGCTTCAGGGAGCAGGGCTTAGTGTTTCACCCTGTGCGAGGCACAGTCTAAGGAGGAGGTGCAGGGATGTTCTTTGTTGATGTCTGGCTGTGGAAAGGCATAAGGATAGACCAACCTGTAAAACTGTCTCAGAGGAGAGAGCTTTTGTACTCATGCATGATTTGTGTATGTGTACATTTATTATAGATCCACTGTAAGTAGCAATGGCAGAACTTGGGGTAATGGTTAGGTTGACTAATGATATACTGATGAAAGCTGACTTTTGTTTCCAAGGGACCCTACAGCCAGATTATATGGCATTACAAGAGGCAATTAATGCTGTGCCTCACAAAAATGGTGAAGGTGTAAATATTGACTTAGAGTAGCAAAAACAGTTATTACAGTCCACAGAATGTTAAACTGCAGATTAGACAAATGCCATACATTATTACAAAGCACTGACTGATATGCAAGGCATGATCTGTATTTAAACACTTGACATTAAGTAAGTTAGGTTTTATAGGTTTAAAGTACCTATGGATTACATTATTCTTGAAGAGTACTTGGGCTAAATAAGAGCACAGCAGGATCTAGGGGAAGTAATTGCTCTCCAGCAAAGGAAATGTGCTCCTCTGAGGGGGCAGCAGGGATTGCTGAGCAGGATGAGACAGCTCCTCCCTGAGAATGGCTGTGCAGAATGTCTGGGAATGGCAGGTTCCATTAGGCTGCAGAGAGCCTGGTGCAGAGCAGTCTTGTCTTTTCCTGGGAGGAAGTGCCAGTGCACAGTGCTGCTTCCTTCCACCAGCATTCCTGCGTGCCCTCGGCTCCATACATAATTCAGATGCAATGCATAATTAAAGGACTATAAAGCCACACTTACTTTCATGTATTTAAATTCCTTGATGAGCCATAGATGGGTTTTGCCTGGTCTGTGCTTTTGCTTTGCCTGTTCCTGTAGTTTGTTGAAATAGTGAGGACCACGGCCCAGTGAGTCAGCAGCTCCTGAGAACCACTTCCAAAATACTAATCAGTGCTAACTGTCAGGATTAGTATTCTGTTAGAAATAAAAGTAGAACTATCTAACAAAGAATAATTAATTTGCAGTGTCATAGATTCGCTTCCTCTGTTAGCAACATCTTTGTAAAGCAGAGCCTTTTCAAAGTAAAAAACCCCAACTTTTGAAGGGTACAGATCTAACAGTAGCAGCAAAAAAGCCCTGCCTTGAATGGCCTAGGCTGTGATCCTTCCTAGGAATAGTGTCTGTGTGGCAGCTGGGTGTGTACAACATTTGTTTCCTCATACAGGTCTGCAATAAAGACTGGCTTACACAAAAGGGAAACATCAATTGTACATCTTGAACTTTCTCCCATTCCTTTCTGTTCTGGATTCCTCCTCTTTAGATCAGTAGTTTGTGACTGGATCACATGATGGTATTTCCAGTACTTCCAGTGCTGTAATTGCTCTGTGTGGAAAGCATTGCTGAGGTGCTCTGGGCCTTTGCATTTCAAACATTGGATGTGTAACATTTTATATATTTAATCACCATCAAGTAGAGTGTTTGGATCCAAGCTATTTAGAGCAACTGTCTGTACTATTGCAACCCACTCAGGGCCCTGAGGGAGACCTATGAACAGAGAGAAGGCTCAGATTTATTTGAGTAACTCAATATTGCCAAATACTTTGGTTTGCTACAGCTGCTGGAGAAGTATTGGGAAGATCTAACCAGAGAACATGGTGTTAGGAAAGATCTGTGTAAAGATTCAGGAGACTCAGGAAAATGCTCCTGCTTTCTCCTCTGAGCACCAGAACTGTGAAGAAAACGTAACTTATGTTAAGTAGGAGGTAGAAATCAATATCTGAAACATTCTTCAAAAACAGAATTGAAGGCTTACATCCTTTTAAGCTCATGGCAGGAAGAGCCTCTTCTTTGCTTGAACAAGTTACTGTTTACAGCAATTTTTTCTGTGCTTGAAGGAGTTACTGTTTACAGCAGTTTTAATAAAGTGTCTCCTGGCAAAAAAACTAAGTTGTAACATCTCCAAACCTTTTATAGATGAAACAGCGTCCTTCAAAATGCACACTGCTCAGTTAAACCTTGGTAGCCTGTGTTGTGACAGGGATACCTAGTGTTTGATAGACTGTATTAAGCCTTTTCCATTTTATCTTGATAACATTTATTTCCTTCCACTTTTGGGATGTTTCTCTTCTGTACTTTCCTATTTTTTTTCTCCTCCTGGAAACAAACAACCGAAAGCATTATTTTGTCACTTGGCAGCTCTCAGGAGCTCCACTAGTCAGAACTGGCATTAATACTCCTGCAAGCAGTTTAATTCCAGGGCTGCTTCCAGCACCAAGCCATGGGTCTGCTGTGCTGTAGCCTCCCCCTGCCCAGTGCCAGGAGCTGCCCTGCTCCATGGTGTGGATCCCCAGCCCATCCCTGGGGATGTCAGACCCTCTGTCTCTGAGATGAAGTGCCTGTGCTTATCCCAGCCTGTAGAAATTGAGGCGTTTTCCTGGCAGCTCACTACAAACAGGATTTCACAGCACAATGTCTCAAACAGGGGGGCTCTCTTCTCTTCTTTTCTCTGTTTCACACTTTGCTATGGCACGTCCATCTGTAAGCTCCTGACCCTGTGCAGGTGCAATCCCAGCAGCAGCCCTGGTCAGATACTCATGTGTGAGTGAGGCTGTGAGTGAAGGTTTGTGGTGAGGCCAGGCATGTCTGTCATGTTTAGCACAGTGTAGTCTGCTTCCTTCTCTTCAACACTTTGTCTGCAAAAAACGGTGAGTTTTATTCCTTGTAATTGGTTTTGGGCCTTATTAACTGTTAGTCTCTGTGCCAACATACATAATGGCTGGGCTCTGTTGTGCTCACCATTGTGTCTGTTGTGGCTTGGCTTTCAGGATATGAGTTCATTTTCTTTCCCACCCCAGCAGTGGGGAGGGGTCACTAAGGCTGAGTCAGTAGATCCTGGTGCATCAGGTGCTGCTCAGCTGCAATGCTGCACTGCCCGTCCATCCCATGGGCTGCTCCTGAACAGGACCTTCTGCAGGGCCCTGCCTCAGGAAGGGGTGTGCCATGGGTCCAGTCTGTACTGCCTTGAAAGGAGCACAGCAATTCAGAGCATCCTCTGAAAAGTGAAGTGGCCAGAGCAGACACAATAACAGCTCCATCAAATATTGATAAAGTAGGATTATTAATTAGAATAGGGGTGTAGGATTAAAATGTCCCTTGAGTTACATTCCCCATTTGATGTGAGAGTGTGGTTTTGTGGTCAGAGAGTGGGAAGCTCAGGATAACTGGAATCTTTTCTCATCTCTTCAATGTGTTTGCTTAATGTCCTTAGTGGTTCAGGGGATATATAATACTATTGACCA